GTAAATACGATATTTACTCTAATGTAATATTTAATATTTAATTATAACTAATATTTAATATTTAATTATAACTAATAAATTTATTATTTCAACTATATTAGCTAAATTTTTTTAATCAATGTGAAAAAAGAAATAGGAATATCTTTATGGGATGGAGGGAGTAGCATAAAATTTGATTCAACAACTACTTCATTTCTTCTATCTGATAGTGTGTAAAATTAGAATATTCGGACCTAAGGAAGAAAATGACTTGCACATCTACTAAGTTACATCACTATAATATAAAAGATGCTAACTTTGGGCGATGTTCTTGCTCAACACATGGCACAATTTTTTTATCGTCAACACGATTTTTATTTTTATTTTTTTTTTTTGAACCAATACCCGTGCCGTATCTCTCCCGTCTTTGGCGTTCAAAATGTTGTAACTTAAAAAATAAGTTTTAATCTTTCAAGAATTAAAACGATTTAAGTTTTGATTTAATTTTCAATTTAACTTAATTAAAAACATTATAAGTCTTTTTTTTTAACTCATAATTTTGGATTAATTGTGGGGGTTGATTTTTTCCCTATAAAAAGGAGTGATTTTTATGGGGTTATGCTTAATATGAAAAACATAACTTAAGATATAACTAGAATACTCCATCTATATTTCATATAAATTTCTATAGTTTTTGGCAACTTGATAAATTTTATTTCTTTATCTCTATGTGGACGTGCCCATAGAAAGAGAACCAACTAAGAGTCATAAGGGTTTTGTAGAATTCAAATTTTGTACCTCCAACGTGGCTAACAGATCTCAAGGCCTCTCACGTCCACGAAGCTTGATTCCTGCACACTTAGACAAACCATTAGCCACATGTAGCTTCCTTCAATGGTGGTGGAGTTGGTAGCGCTCATTCCGAGGGTCAAATCAGTTGAGAATATAAATGTATGAGTGTGGGAGGACTTTAGACGTGAGCCTCCAAAATGGAAATGGTTGGATTTCGGGTGTATATCAAGAAAAATAAAAGAGCAAAGTTATAAGTTGAGAGCATAAACTTGAATTACCTTTGGAATGATACATCGTATGAGTTTTTATATTAAAAAGGATGAAGGTTGGCCGCATAATAAAAACATGTGTCTCCATCCACACGACGGAGGCCTCTTGTCGAAGGCATCAATTAATCATAATAATTAAATGCTAAAACCATTTTGTTGGCCATAAACCAGACATTGTGCTTTAGCCTTGTTCTAGTTGATGAATTAAGACGGGGATGGCAGTGTGTTGTCACGTCAATCACATACAAAACGATTGCATAAAGGATTTCCTGCTAGCCCCCATTTTTGCGGCCTCTCTCGGGACGAAGGTTCATTCCTTTGCAAAGGGGTTGACCCAACCAAATGGGTTTAGCCACACATTCATTCGACTTCTTTATGGGTTCGGTCAACTGTCTCTTGGAGTTTTTTACGCGGAGTGTGGGTCCCAAGGTTGGCTCGTCATATGGGATTTTTGGACCTCAACATGCGAGATGTAATAGGTTTTATCTTGGAACCGTAGAGTGCTAAAAGTACCCACACAAACTTTGGGACGTCTTCAACGTGACTCCCTTACACTTGCTCTCTAACTTTCTATATTTATGTTCTTATGTTTATGTTATTATTGTTGAGTTATATTATTTATACTTATTATGTTAATCAAAATCTACACATAAATCACCCATTTTTCCAAGAATCTAAAGTCGTGTTTAGTGATTTGTGTGAATGAAACTTGTAGTATGTGAGGAGATCTTAAGCAGATCTTATAGTATGTGATTGACAAGATGTGTCACAGTCATCATCATCGTCACCAATTTATTTGGTCAAGTCTACGGCCACAAGCTAGGTTGCATTTAAGGCTAAGATTGATTGGTGCCTATCACAAAAAAGGTCAATCATTTGGATAGGGTCACGAGCATTGCCATCTAACGGCCCTTATCCGCCAAGCCCAAGTATAAAAGATCACACTTAGTGCCATTCAAAGGTA